GGATCTGCGTTTTGCTTGTATTCTTCGAACTCGACCGCTGTCACCTGGGAATCAGCAATCTTTGAGCCCTTCTGAAAGCACTCTTCTGCCTTTTTCCGATCACCGGTGACAGTGATCACTCCTTTGGGGCCGGGCATCTTCAATTTGAGGTACACGTAACATGGTCGAGCCATGAACCATGCATAAGCTGGTCTCCCCAAAATGGCATGATATGCACTCTGAAAATCCACGACCTCAAACGTCAACTTCTCTTTGCGAAAATGTTTCGAATCACCAAACACCACGTCCAGAGCTATTTGGCCGAGTGACTCGGCTTTCTTCCCTGGTATAACTCCATGAAAGCTCATGTTACTGGTGCTCAGTCGGGACATCGGAATGCCCATTCCTTTCAGTGTGTCTGCATACAACAAATTCAGCCCGCTACCACCGTCCATCAGCACCTTTGTCAGTCGAGTGCCTTCGACAACTGGATCGACCACCAAAGCTTGCCTCCCAGGGGTGGCAATATGAGTCGGATGATCAGATTGGTCGAATGTGATGGGTGTTTGGGACCATCTCAAATAATTTGCTTTTGCTGGGCTAACCATGTTCACCTCGCGGTTAATGACTTTCAATCGACTCTTACTTTCCGCATCTGCAAAGATCATCAGAGTGGAGTTGATATGCGGATATCCTTCCTCACTGTCCTCCTTGCCTTCGGCCTTGTCCGACTCCTTTTCCTTGTCCTTAGATTGTTTTCCTTGAAACTGCTGGATCAGGAGTCGACATTGGCGAGTGGTATGCTTTGGGTAAATGATATTCCCCTCTTCGTCTTTCTTCGTGTGGATGTGGCACGGCATATCCATCACGTCGTTCCCTTCTTTATCCTTTACCTTCTTAGGGTTCCAGGATCCTTTTGGTTTCCCCTTAAACTTTCCCTGAGTCACGGCCAGAGCCTCTCCAGGAGATGCCGGTTCAGCCTTCCGCTTCTGTTTCCGACTGGAGTTTCCCTTCTCCGACTGACTCGGCTTATGCTTGCCGCTTCGGAGTCGGTCTTCTTCTTCGCCGTTGGCGTACTTGGTAGCAATTTCCATCATCCGACTCAGGGTCATGTCACCGGTTCGACCAAATTTCAAACTCAATTCTCTGTTCTTGACACCATCCTTGAAGGCGCAGACTGCCTGATGATCAGACACATTCTCCACAGTATGGTGCGAAGTGATCCACCTCTGAATATACTCCCTGAGAGTCTCGTTGGTCTTCTGCATGCAGACTTGCAGCTCCGTCAATCCAGCCGGTCGCTTGCAAGTTCCTTCAAACGTTCTGACGAACACTCGGGACAGATCTTCCCAAGTGTAAATGCTGCTAGGAGGTAACTGAGTCAACCATGCTCTGGCAGAACCTTCCAACATGAGGGGCAAATGCTTCATGGCCACCTCGTCATTCCCACCACCAATCTGAACCGCCACTCGGTAGTCCTCAAGCCAAGTTTCAGGCTTAGACTCACCAGTGAACTTGCTGACTCCTGTTGCCAACCTGAAATTGGGAGGGATCACTGCGGATCTGATAGCTCTGCTGAAACATTCCGGACCAGAAACATGCACTCGACTGCTCGTTGGCGCATCTCTGTCGATTCCACCTCGATGGGCTCTGTTCCGGTCGACCAAGCCTTGCACGATAGTGGATCGCGCGTCGAAGCCTGGTTCTCTGGGGTCGACTGGAACTCTTCGCCCCGCACTGAGCTGACGTCTGTCATCTTGCTGCCGAGGAGCGTAAGACCCACCCCTCGGAGGGGAATTGGGCACTCGACGCCTATCATCTCGGTCGTGTCGGTCTCCATATTGGTCTCGCCGGTTCTCGCGCCCTTCACGCCGCGGAGGCGATCTGGGGCTGTGAGCCGACTGAACCGTATTCGCAGCAACGGATCGACTGTGAATTCTGTTGCGCGACTGCGACACGGCCGAATTCTGATCTCCTGCTGCCCGGAGCAGATCCCTGATCTGCATCAAGCCTTTGCCAGCTTCCGACTGAGAGGGCTGGATGGACTCTGCAATACGGGTCGCAGCTGCTAAATTCTGGATTGGGGTTCGATATACCTGAGTCGGCGGGGAGAGTTGACGTCGACTGGTGTCGGGAACTCGTTGTCGTGCGCGCTCGTCGAGTGCTCGCTGAAGATTCTCCAGGCGAGTGCGTTCGGCCAAGTTGGCCAAACGTGCCTCCTCCAAGGCGCGAGCCTCGGGGGTTTCTCCTGCGATGGGAGTACGCAGGGCATCCACGTTCCTGCGGCGAAGTTCCTCTCTTTGCAGAGAGTCGAGTGGTTCGAGCTGGTACTCTTCGTGGTCTCGTGCGGGGTCGCCTCCGTCGCCTGCCCCACCATCACGGGCGAAGCCAGGGGGACTGCGGGGCCCGTCGACCATCAGGATTTCCGCCACTGGATCACTGCTATCGCACTCGGATGCAGTCTCTACGGAGCCAGTCGACAGATCGAATAGGCCGTAAAGAGATTCGTCGGGCTCGATTGCCGCAACTTGGGTGGTGGCCGTCTGGCGAGCCACCGCGTGCCTCACCCACCGCTGAAGCCTCGACCGGCCCGAGCGCTTGCGCTGGCGGGAGACCGGGAGGGTGGCCGATGAGGGAGTCGACCGATACGGGGTCGACGGTTGCCGCAGCAGAACGCCGCGGACACATGCGCGAAAATGCGTCGCATCGCGGACGGGGAGCGCATCGACGTCGAGTGGAGCCTCCTGGAGCCAGGCGGATCTCTCGGCCCTCGACCAAAACTCCAGCAGCCACCATGATGAAAGTACTCGGAAGAATCGCAACTTCTCCACAAAATCGCTAAAACACCTGCCCCACGGTGGGCGCCAACTGTCGTGGTTCTAAGTCTGACAGTAGAGTGGGGGTAGGTATTGAGAGGCAAGGTCCTAGCTATGGAGAGGTTGTAAGCACAAGAGATGTACGAGTTCAGGCCCTTCTCGGAGGAAGTAAAAGCCCTACGTCTCGGAGCCCGGAGGCGGTCGAGTGGATTATGTGTATATGAATTACAGGGTGCCGAACCCTTCTACCTGTGGAGGGGGGTGGCTTATATAGAGTGCGCCAGGACCCCAGCCAGCCCACGTAGGAGAGGGTTTAAGGTGCGTTAAGTCCGGGGCGTTACTGGTAACGCCCCACATAAAGTGTCTTTACTATCATAAAGTCTACTTAATTACAGACCGTTGCAGTGCAGAGTGCCTCTTGACCTTCTGGTGGTCGAGTGAGTCTTCGTGGTCGAGTCCTACAAGTCAGTCGAGTGAGTCCCTCGTAGGTCGACTGGAAGGTGATCTCTTCTAAGGATGTCCCTGGGCAGGGTACTTAGATCAGGTCTGTGACCCTACCCTAGGTACATGACTCCATCAGCTATGCCTACAGTTAGGTTGTCGGCATATATCTAAACTATGCCTATAGTTTGGCTGTCGGCATAGCCTGGAACATATGCCTACGGAAGAGCCGTAGGCATAGCTTTAGATATATGCCGACAGCCATGCTGTAGGCATAGCCGTGCCCACCGAGCTAGTAGACACCGCCACGTGGCAGGGATATGCCTACGGCCTAGCCGTAGGCATAGGTTCAAATCTATGCCGACGGGCGCGCCGTAGGCATAGCCCGCCCACGGAGTTAGTGAACGCAGCCACGTGGCAGGGCTATGCCTACGGCCTAGCCGTAGGCATAGTTTCAAATCTATGCCGACGGCTACACCGTAGGCATAGCTCTGCCACGTGGCGTCTCCTCTATGGGCAGCACTTGACGGCGGCCACCGTTAGCGTGGAATGTTGCCGACGGCCCTGGCCGTCGGCATAGATGTACGGACACCGTCGGCAAATCATCTATGCCGACGGCTTTTTTATGCCGACGGCATCCCGAGATACGCCGACGTATATTATGCCGACGGCCCTATGCCTAAGGGGGCCGTCGGCATAGGCCTATCCCGACGGGAATCAGGGCTATGCCTACGGCCTGAGCCGTAGGCATAGGGGTTTATTCTGGTAGTGTTTTGTATATCATCCTGACGGGCCATACTATGCAACACTAGTTTACTGCCAAAATCTGTAATGTAATCTAATGACTGCTAGGTTTTGTGCACTTTCTTTCAAAAAAAAGGTTTTGTGCACTTACAAATCGACTCTCCCCTTGAAAGCTATGGTCCTCTGGCAGTTGGTTGCTGCACCCAATATTGTTTTGTTTATTGTCGCTTGCATTTCTCATTTCGATTGGGATGTGAAATATCCACATAGTTTCATCTGGGATACTGCTGCTGTAGTGAATTGAATCTATGTAGCAGTTGTGTCTAATAAAAGACAAAGGTTGCATAGTTCTGATGTGGGATAAGTGCGGCTTGAGTTGAATCTCTGTAGCAGTTGTGTCAAGTAATAACAAAAGATTTTGATTCTTTTTTCCTGGCGAAACTCGCCAGGAACAAGCGTTGTTTAGTTAGAATAAAATTTGGGCTTGATAGAACAATGAAGATAATACAGAATGCACACCTTACACAAGAAAAACATAGGTTACTGAATACACTTTAGGGCTGAATACATGGGAATTTGATCATATGCCACACTTAAATTAACCACTGACCAAATGCCCCTCTTTTCTTTCGCAATAGATAATATGTATTTTTCAGTTACATAAATGTTTTTCCAATTTCTAACTGCAATATTGCCACGTGAAATGAAAAATTAATCCTTGTGGCAAACTTGCAATTTCCTAACTTTTTTCCTTTATAGTCCAGCCTTGATAGTCAGGTATTAATGACATAGTATGTATCTATCATATGGGTGGGCTATCAAATTGGTTGTAAATGTTGTGGCAATGAGCTAGAGCCAGCAGACGGCTATTATTCGCCATGCTCTAAATAAACCCGTCCCTCCGCCACCAACCGCCAAACCGTATATCTCCCTAGCAGCTGGCTATTATTAGCCATACTCTAAATAAACCCGTCCCTCCGTCACCACCGCCCAAACCCTAGATCTCCCCAACCGCCGGCCATGGAAAAGGCGGCACCGGCCGCCGTGGCAAGAAAGCGCGAATCCGATGGGACCGCTGGCAGTAGGCCAAGGAATCGGGCACGCTGTGGCAACTATGATGGAAACTGGGTGGCCGAGGATCCCATCAGCCGCCTCCCTGATGCCATCCTCGGCACCGTCATCTCCCTTCTCCCCACCAAGGACGGCGCACGCACTCAAGCCCTCTCCCGCCGATGGCGCCACCTTTGGCGCTCCGCGCCCCTCCACCTTCAGGCCAATAGCAGCCTCTGCAGCAACCTTCGCTCGCGCCCCACCATCATCAACAGGATCCTCTGCGACCACCCTGGCCCCGCCCGTCGCTTCCACTTCCCATTCATCCAGTTCACATCCGGCGACATAGACAGCCGGCGCACCGAGCTCGACGGCTGGTGCCAGTCCCGAGCCCTTGACGGCCTCCAGGAGCTCGATATCTACTACGGGAAATGGTCGTCAGAACCGCCTCATATTAGTTTCCCGCTGCCGTCATCTGCACTCCGCTTTGCACCCACCCTCCTCGTGGTCAAGATCGGCTCGTGCAATTTCCCCAGCGAGATCTCACCATCGTTGAGTTTCCCCCTCCTCAAGGAGCTCACCCTCCGGTGCGTTTCCATCTCGGAGGATGTATTCAACCGGGTGCTCTCTGGATGCCGTGCCTTGGAGAGCCTTCTGCTGTGGGACATTCTTGCTGCGCGTCGCCTCCACATTCGCTCACTAACTCTTAAGAGCATTGGCTTCCGTGCTCGTAGTGCTTGCACACAAGAATTAGTCATTGAGGATGCTCCCTGCCTCGAAAGATTTATGTCACTTTATCCTCCGGACATAAGTTTTGAGACTATCCGTGTAATTGGTGCACCTAAACTGAAGACATTGGGCCTATTTTCACCATGTGTATCCACACTCCAGATTGCAACTCTCGTTGTCCAGGTAGCAGTAGCAACCTTCTTGAATCTTGCATTTCCTGTACCTACATGCATTTCATTATTTTTTATGTTCCTTTTTTCTTCAGGGAATGTCCCCAGTCAGCTTGGCAAACTCAGTATGCACTGTGAAGGTTTTGGCTCTCTACTCTTCTGGCTCTCAGTTCAATGCAGTTCTAAACGTCCTCAGGTGCTTTCCCCGCTTGGAAAAGCTCTATGTCACTGTGAGTATTCGTCTTTGATTGCCTTGTCAATGTGAAATTTTATTTTGAGGTAAGTTAGCCGATAGTAACCTAATCTGGTTAGAAATGGCTCTAACATCATTTCTCTCCTTTTTTTCCAGTTGAAGAAACACCCAAAGATGGATATGGTAAATGTGCACCTGTGTGACCCACTAGATCCAATTGAATGCCTCGAGATCCATCTAAAAAAATTGGTATTTGAAAATTACAAAGGCCGTGACCAAGATGGCGACTTTGCGAAATTCTTTATTTTGAACGCAAAAGTGCTGAAGGAAATCAAATTTTCAAGCCCTAAGGGCAACGATATTAAATGGGTGGCCGATCAACAAAGGCTGTTACAAGTGGAAGATAGAGCTTCTCGGGATGCTGAACCTGAATTCAGAAGTGAGTTTAGCTGTTTGGGTAACACCAAGCATATTCATGATTTATTGGATGATCCCTTTGACTGCTCGTGTTGTAGAATTGAATGGGATGTTCTTTCAGGTGAAGCATGTCCATGATTCGTCAATGGCCGATCTTTTCAAATCCTTATCTCATAGACAGTGTTAATGCCCAAATATTGTGTAGTCGTTGCCCCTTCTCTAGAAGGGATATATGCTCGAAAATTGTATTATCTTTTGTCCAGACTCAAATTTATGGCTGCTCAATCTCTGGTTAGAAGTTATTTCATGTTTTCGTGTCTCACTAAGTTATCTATGTTGAAACTGCAAAATGTATGAATGAAAAGGGGTTTATCAAAGCCATTTCCGCTCATCATGGGTGCAAATATATTTACTGATGCAAAATGTATGCTGACTGCAAAACATGCTTGTATTGAAAAATCAATCATCTTTTCACATACAAAAGTTTGTAAGGTTTCCGAAAAAGGGTTTCCCCCCGCATTGTATTACAAAGCAACAACACATATACAACCACCGATAGGTGCTGGGGCGGAAGCAGCAGTCACGCCCAAAAGAAACGAAAGAGAAAATACAAAAGGAACAAATGCCGACACCGGCAGATCAACAAAAACGAAGAAGCCTCGCGACTGCTGCAGAAGTTTGTAAGGTTTGAGTGCTGGTTTTCGAACCTCTTCCGTTTATATTTTACTGTACTCTTCTCGGTACAGATGCTCCTCTGAACTCTCGAAGTTTTGCTTCTGTTGCATAATTATCTGTTTGTAGATGAGGTGTTTGGTTGTCATTTTAATCAAAACTTCTGCTGCTAGGTTTGGAGGCGAGCCTGCACTGGTCTCATCCGAATGGAATTGTAAAATCGTCTCATGGTGGGAATATTAACAGCCGGGACCTCGTATTCAGAAACAGCAAGGTGGTCCATTTATTGGTTTATGCGCACTTCTGCCTGTTAAGTTGTTTTCAGAAATTATTACTAGGTAAGAATCAATCTTATTCGCTGTTCTGTGATGACGGAATGATTTGTCAGTTTCACTGATTATTTGCGATGATTCTAGGTTGGTTACGAATCCCCTTTAGTAGTCTGTGCTTTTTAGAAAATGGAGAAACGATTACTGTCTTTGTAAACACAAAAATTGCTTCATGTAGTATGGCCATATAGTGTTGATGTGTAATTGGTATCGTCAGAAGTTCATTATCACTGCCATGTTATTAATGTATTTTTGCAAGATACTCTCTTGGTTCACCGCGAATAGCATTAGCAGACAACTGGTAGTGGTAGGTTGTGGGTAGAGTAGATGATTCGGTTATCTGGGAAGCTGGTGAACTGTCGAACCACGTGTTTTTATCACCTGAACTTCCGCGAGCCATAGTTTCTCCCTGCCCATTTGTTCTGTGCATTCCTCTGATAATTTGTGCCTTGCAACTTACATAATTCTTTGAATGGAAATGCTTTGATCTTACAAATGGTCGGATGACATACGAGGTTCCGTTAGTTGTACTCAGACACATAATTTTTGGGGTAAAGTTCATTTTTGCTGATTTTGTGGTCGCACTATGGTGAGCTCTCAAGATTTGGCTCTCAAATGCTCATTAGTCAGTTACCTTGGTAATCCATTGCATTCAGCTGGTATGCTTGAGCCTGATCCTGGTTCAGTTAGCGTCTTAGCGATAATGACACCGATGGCGGAGGTGGAACTGTAAACCAACTTGACAGTGAGTGTTTCGGGCGCCCCTGCTTCAGTTCCTGATCAAACCGAATTTGCTTGGCTTTCTTCATTTCATTTTCATATGACGGCAAACTGAACTGCCGCGAGTCTTCAACTGAACGACATGCCTTGCACGCTATGTAATTTGCTCCAAAGAACATCTGACGAAAACCTTCGCCTCGCCATCGAGCCGGTGTCTGGGCTCCCCTTGGACGTGGTGACTACTACCGAGACCGCGTCCTCGGTGAGAGACGGCGAGTCATCTGAACAATTTTTTCAGTTGCACTTGAGGATTAGCAAGCTCATGCGGCGAAATAATTATCAGTGCCTCTTCCTCTCTCACGTTTGGAGAGTGGGCCCTACCTGCCAGCAGTGGCGTAGCTGTAGGGTGGCCAGGGTGGTCCATGGACCACCCTGGAATTTGGCCCATTAGTTTAGTACTTCTTTGAAAAAAAAAACATACACAAGCCCAAATCAGGTCTTAGCTCATGTACGCGTATGTACGCTGATCGTTCCCAACTCTCGTCTCCTTTTCCTCTGGTGATCTGGTCTAAGTCTTAAGATTAAAACCTAGCGCCATCGCCCAGCGCAAGGCCGGCACTCCGGCAGGGCACAGGCTGACGGCGACGGACAGACGGAAGGCGAAGGACGCGTGTCCCGGCGGCCGACGAAGGAAGCGCGCACGCACACATAGGTACAGCCCCGTGTGCACTGCGCACTAGTTGTTTTCTTTTCTACTTCAATTCAGAGTAAGATTTTTGTTCTTCTCTAATTCAAAGCAAAATTTCCTTTTGCTACGAAGATTTGAACGATTTGTTGAGAGTGCAAGCTTTAAAGTTTTTTGCAATTGATAATTTGTCAATTGAACCGATTGAATCATTAGGGCTTTGTTCCAACTAAGTTAATGTATTAACATTTTTGTACAACCGTTGCAAAAATGAAGAGGACATGAGACATTGCATCCCTTTTTTTTATATGGATCTGACAAATAAGGCGTGTTATATTTTAAGCGAATGTAAGGCTTGAACATGAGTTTTAATATGCTTTGATAGACCTCATTGATATGTGCTTTGGATATATTCTGTGTGCATATGTTGGTTTGATATATTTGTGGTGTAATTTTTTTTTGTATCAATTGGATCACCCTGACATAAAATCCTGGCTACGCCACTGCCTGCCAGTGTCCACCGATGCCCGATGGGCTTCCAGGAAACTTCCTTCCGGCATACTCCCTCCGTCCGGGTTTATTGGGCCTGTTAGCCACGGCACGAGGACCAAGGAAGAATACTACTGGTAACCATCCGTGACTTACGAAAGTAGCAGCAGCCAATTAGATTAATCTGCAGTTATTCCAAAGCCTCACAGCAGCTAATTGCCCAGCTTTACTTTCGCATGCAACCAACCACAGCGCGAGGCAGTTATTGCTCACAGCTGGTACTTTGCTGTTTTCCCGCATGCAGCGATGAAGCCGAAACGGCAGCCCAATCGTGTGCGTGCTCGGCGGAGCTGATCGAGGAAAGTAAACACGCATATTTAGCGGGGCCTTACAGAAACAGATTAGAGCAAACTTGCTAAGAGGCCCAATAAACCCGGACGGAGGGAGTAGCAATTACGGCGAGGGCCAGGGACTGTTGTCCTACCATCACACACATACAGTGTCGTCCCCGCGTAGCAATTACTCCTCCTGCTTACTAGTACTGTCGTAGGCTGCAGTAGCTCGCAGGCAGCACTCCTCCATTATTGCCACCCCACTCTCCCAAGCTCGCCACTCCGCCATTCCTCTATCAGACGCAACCAAGATCCAACAATGGCGATTCCTTAGCGAGAGGGCAGTGAGCGAGGGAAATGGCGGGGGTGCGCGCCGGGACGGGGGCGCTGACCTCCCTCCTCGGCAAGCTCACCGCGCTGCTCAGCGACGAGTACACGCTGCTCGCGGGCGTGCGGAAGGAGGCCGAGTTCCTGCAGCGCGCGCGAGCTCGGCGCGATGCAGGGGCTGCTGGAGACGCTGGCCGCCAAGCCTAGGCTCGACCCCCAGGAGAAGCTCCTGAAGGGCAACGTGCGAGAGCTCAGGTACGCCATCGAAAACTGCGTCGACCGCTTCATGCTCCGCATCGGTAGCAAGGGAGACGCCGACGGCGGGTTCATGAGCGACACCGTGCGCCGGCTCAAGACGCTGCGGAGACGCCATGAGCTCGCCACTCAGTTCAAGGACCTGAAGGCTCTCGTCATGGAGGAGAGCCAGCGGCGCGAGAGGTACAGGCTTGACAGCCCTGCCCAAACAAGCAGCGGGTCCGTCGTGGAGTTAGACCCGCGGCTGCCTGCGCTCTACGCGGAGGCCAAGGGCTTGGTGGCCATCGACGGCCCCAGGGATCGGGTTGTCTCTTGGCTGGCGGAGAAGAGCTTGGATCTGAAAGTGGTGGCCATTGTTGGAGGTGGAGGGTTGGGGAAGACGGCTCTCGCCATGGAGGCCTACCGCAACATCACAGGCGGCTTCGAGTGCCGAGCATCTGTGTCGGTGTCGAGGACCCTTTACATTGACAAGCTCTTGAAGGATGTCCTTTCTCATGTCGACGAAGATGTGTTTCAGAAATGCCAGAAGGAGAGGTGGGAGAATGAGCAACTAATCCGTCAGACCAGAAAGTTCTTTACAGGAAGAGGTAGGCCTGCATCAATTGGTGTTTTTATATAAAAGAAAAACCATCCAGACTAGGACATCCGCAATAGGAATTACTCCCTCCGTCACCATTTGTTAGACCTCCTCAGGCATGTATAATGCTGGCATATGGATACATATGCCCCATAACAAAAAGTAGTTTGATGCACCTATATTTATTTTTTTCTCCCCAATGCAAGCTACCACTAGTGACCCTCATTAAAAAATACTCCCTCTGTCCCATAATATAGAACATTTTTTTACACTACACTAGTGTAAAAAAATGTCCTATATTATGGGCTGAAGGGAGTAAAAAATAAAGACCCTAGTACACATGCATCTCTACTTTTCTTCAACATTTTCATTTTTTGACACCGGACCACATCTTTTCTCTCGAAGCACCCGCCTCTTGCAGAGGATCCTGCTTCTCTATCCGAACCTACTTTACGTGATATCCGATCCTATATGGCATGTGAGGCATCACCCTGGGGCTATGCATTGTACATGCCCTTATAGTTAGTGTCAAAGTTTAATCATAAAGTTATAAACAAACATTATAAACCATATGTCATAAAATTTATATGGTGGAAATCCTCTTTCAAACACAAAACCAACGATATGCCTTTATAACATATAAATCATATGTTGTTAGTTGTATAGATGGTCAAAGTTTGATCCCAAATATAAAGGGAGCAATAAACCCCGATGAAGGAAGTACGTTGATACACTAAGCAGCATTAATCCAATTGGTGACTGCATCCAAATCGGTTGGAGTGAATTGCAGAAAACATCGACATTGAAGGCTAGGGTTGCAAAAACCACACTTTTACAGTTTTGTGCCAAAAACCACTAATTTCGAGGCTAATTTTTTGCAAAAAACACTAGTAGCTCACTTAGACCATTTTGAGCACAATTATGAAAGGTGGGTCCCGCTAAACAGGGTGATGTGGCATGACATAACATGTTACAAGTAGGTAGAATTGCATATACTAAAGTGTAAAAGCCCTAAAAGGATAAGGCCAATAAAAAAACATCCACCCCTTGCGCTGCCAAGCCACCATGGCAGACCACGCTGCCGTAAGCCAAGCCACTGCCACCATCGCCGGAAGCCACCCCTCCTTCACAGCGTCGCCCCACCTTCCCCGGGCCGTCGCTCCTCCCTCCCCTCTGGATCCGGCCGCCTTCGCCAGCCAGCCTGCCGCCGTGGCCTCCACCCCTCCCTCCCCTCCGGATTCGTCCGCATCGGGCCGCCGTGGCCTCCACCCCTCCTTCCCCTCCGGATCCGGATGGCGAGGTCGTTCATTCACCGCAGGCGGCGCGAACAGCTGCAGGTGGCCCGCCTCCGTGCCCCGCTGTCCTAACAGACACCATCGGCCACGCACAGGAAGGGAGTGGAGGCCACGCCGCCGTCGCCAGCCGCCCCGCCGCCGGAATTCCCCTTCGCCCCGCCGCCGGAGCAAGCAACAGCTCCCCGGTCACGCTCGGGGAGGGAGTGGCCCGATGGAAGAAGGTCAAAGAACCCGATTGCTCTTTTTAGGGGTCCTTTTGCAAAATAAAATTGTGTCTGGATGTAATTGACTGTTTCTTTTATCATGTCACCCTGTTTAGAGGGACCCACCTGTCATAATCATGCTTAAAACGACCTAAGTGAGCGACTTGTGGTTTCTGCAAAAAATTAGCCTTGGAATTAGTGTTTTTGACACAAAATTGTAGACTTGTGATTTCTACAAGACGGTGCTTCAATGTCGATGTTTTCTGCAATTCACTCAATCGGTTGCATAGTCCTTGCTACCATCTATAAGTGGTGAATCCGAAGCAAGGACCACATACAGATCCAATAAGTAGTCAACTGGATGACTTGTCAGAAATAAGAAACTATTTTGTTGTTAAACACACTGTCATTGCAATATTTTCGGATAGTCCAATCCATAAAGTGCAAGCTAGCACACAAATTAAAGCCTTGTGTCGTCTATTGACCCCAGCCAGCTAGTCCCTAAACATATTCGAGATAGTAGTTGGAGATGGTCGGTTGAATGTCATGAATACTACACGTCATGCCAGGCGTACAATCGGGCACGAAATGAACAAATGTTGAATAGTTTCCACTCCCATCGTAAAAGCGCCACTTCCTCCTGCCACTCCAGCGATGATTGGCCAAATTATCTTTAGTTAAAATAACCCCTCAACATACCTACCAAATGAAATTTTAAATGTTTAAAGTTGCCTTGAGTTTCTAAATGAACTTTTTACCAAACCAGTAATTACCATCGGCGAGCGGCCGCCGAAATGAATAAGAGCATCTCCAACCTTTGCCCCAAGCTCGCCCGACCAAGCGCTTTTAGTGTTCGCGCAAGCGGTTTTTTCGGCCTAGGGCGAACCAGTTCACAGCCGCGCCCCAGGGTTCGGCCCCCAAACATATATAAATTCAAAGTTTTACTTTCCCGTACCAAAAACGCCACAGTTCGGCGATCATCATGCCACAGGTCGGCGATCATCATGCCAAAGTCCGGCGAACAAAAAGCGTAGAAACAGCGGGAACTCATCAGGCGGCAGGCTCCTCTGCAGCAGGGCTGGCCAAGGTCGGCGTGGGTGTGGCCGCAGGGTCAGAGCTCGGGCTCGGGGTCGGCGTGGGCGCAGTTTCAATGCTCGTGCTCGGCGTTGGTGTCGGCACATCTTCAGCGCGCGTGCTCGGCGTAGGCGTGGGCGTAGGAGCGGTGGTCGCCGCCGGTCCCGACATCTGGTTTAAGATGAGGCCGCGCTCCGTCAGGTACCACGTCTTCACCTGCACGTCCATCGTCGATGTGTCTGCCCCCATCAAGAACGCCAGGTCGGTGTTCCTCTTCTTCGCGGCGACGTTGGTCCTGAGAAGGTCGAGCTTGATGTCATGTTTCGTCATCAACGCCGACTACCTCGCGTCGGATTTCTCCTCCCTCTTGGCGGCGTTGCTCTTGGCGTCAGGGATGCACTGCTCGATCGACGATTGCAGTCGTTCGGCAGCGGGTGTCGCGTCCCTCGCCGACCGGCTCGCTTGTTGCCATCAGGGCGCCCTTCTGCCTCCGTCGGGACAGGCGCGTCCGGGTTGTAGGTGTCCTCGCCTTGGCGAGAGAGAACCGGACCTCCATCCATTTCTTGCATGAATCGATCCTCCTGAACACGTGAAGGAACTTGAACTCTTGGTCGCCGTTGTCTTGACGAAACATGTTGAACATCCGGACCATCTACACAGCCAAGGCAAAGGTGTCGGCGAACAAAAACAGCGAGTAAATGGGACGGCAAGCGGTGGCCATACCTGTCCCTCGACGTTGGCGCCGCTTTCTGGGCGAGCCGCGACCTCCTCTTGAATCCCATGCCATTTGTTGCAGGCCGTCTGGATGGTCGCCCAGTGGTTCGCCATTCCATGTGGATGTTGACGAAGTCGGGGTCGACCAACTTGCGCTCGTCGAACGCCGTCTTGATCCTTCTCCAGTACGTGTCGGCGTTCTGGTTCACGCCGGTGATCGGGTCGATGCTGACGGTCTTCCATGCTTCGGCGAGGCACTCGTCCTCCTTGGACATCCACTTGCCGCGAGGCTCGCCTGACCTGGCGCTGGCTGCCCGCTTCTTCTTTTTCCCTTTGGCCGCCGGCTCCACCTCCACCGGTTCTTCCTCCTCCATCTCCTCCTCGGCGTCGTCGAGCTCATCCTCTATGTCGATGGCGGCATCCAGAGTTTCGTCATGGGGTAACCCGGGACACGAAGCAGCGGCGGCCGAGCCGGTCGTGATGATCTCGTCCATGTCGGCCTCGGTGGCACTGAACTGTGGCGCCGAGCCGTGTGCGAACGGTAGGCCACGACACAGAGGTGGGGCAGGCGAACCTGAGTACGTCGGCAGTGAGTAGCTGTACTGAGTGTTGAGCCCGACGGCAAACACGGGGGAGGGAGTGTGCGGGTCGTGGTTGAAGCCGGACGGCGACGCGCGTGGCGGCGCACCATGCAGGAAGGTGATGTTGGGGTTGAAGGCGCCGTGCGCGTCACCGTCGGCGTAGCCAGGTGAGGCCGCGTACCCCCAGAGTGGCGGCGAGAAGCTGGCAGGCGATGCGACGCTCTGCTGGCTCCCCCACGTGGCTTGCGGGCCCTGGCCGCCCTGCGGATGCGGAACATTTGCCATCCGACGCGAGACGCTTCCTCCTGCTCCGCCGCCGCCGCCGTGTCCGTGGCCTTCTTCAAGATGAGCCTGTTTCGCCGGTGACCGCCTCCCTGCGGCAAACGTCGGCGTTCCACTAGGCGTTCGACATGCCCGGCGGCCTTGCCTTTGGCGCCCTCGGCTTCCTCTGTTTCGGCTGGACGGATTCAATGGCTTGGCGGGGCGGCGCATACTTCTTCGACAGCATGGTGGGCAGGAGAGAATGGCGGGAGCGGCGGGGGAGAAGGGGCGACACTAGAAAACGGCGGGAAATAGTCTGGTGTTGCTGACAGCGCGGATCCACGTGCCTTTTCGCTTCAGCCGGCGTCCCCCGGCGCGATGGGTTCGCTGGTTGTAATTTCGGCCCAAACCGGCGATAAAGAAGGTTCTGGGGGCGCGACTGGGCCGTTTTTCCCCGCGGGCGCTAAAAAAGACGCCCTGGGGGCCTCTTGTGGGGCGGGTGGAGATGCTCTAACATATGAGCGGCCGCGAGTTTGATCATATTTCCGGACACAACTAGTTATCTGCTCACAAAGTAAATGTCGGTGTAGTGCAGATCATCATTTTTCTGTCAATGAACTTAATACTGTCATTTACATACAGTTTTTTTTTGGATAAAAAGGATTTATTGATTCTCAAAAAATTACATGCAGGTACTTCATAGTTATTGATGATGTATGGAAAGATGAAGACTGGAAATTTGTCAAAGCGGCTTTTCCTGATAATCATAATGGCAGCAGAATAATTGTTACTACACGCATTACCAGTGTAGCTAACTCATGTTGTTCTAACTCTGGTGATCACCTCTACAAAATGGCAGCACTAAATGATGTTGATTCTCGAAGATTGTTCTTTAAGAGAACTTTCCACTCCGAAAAATCCTGCCCTCCTCATCTGGAAAAGGTTTCAGTTAAGATTTTAAAAAAATGTGGTGGTCTACCATTGGCTATAATTACAATTGCGAGTTTGCTAGCCAATAAACCTCAAAGCACAGGTGAATGGGAGAAACTGCAAGATTCAATTGGTACTGGTCTTTCATATGAGAATGATGATGGTGGAAAAGGAATGAGAGATATATTATTACTTAGTTACTGGGATCTTCCACACCACCTGAAGACTTGTTTATTGTACGTATGTATATATCCAGAGGACCACCGTATCAACTGTGCAGAACTGAAATCGAAATGGATAGCTGAAGGATTTGTTGCTACACAATGGGGAAATCTGTATCAAGAAGCAGAGAACTATTTCAATGGACTTGTCAATAGAAATCTGATTCAGCCAGTTGATGTTGGCTATGATGGCATTGTGCACTACTGCCAGGTTCATGATATGGTGCTTGACCTTATAATATCTTTGGCAGAAGAAGAAAACTTTGCCCTTATTCTAAATGGACGTGTCTGCAATTCTTTGCCAAGCAAGATTCATCGGATCTCCATACAATCTAGTGGGCAAGAACATAAAGGAGCAACCCATGAGATCACAAAAAGCAAGTTACATCTTCGCTCACTGAGTGTGTTTGGAGAAGAGGAGTCCATACCCCTACTTGTGGACTTCCGTTCCTTGCGCGTATTGGATTTACTTTATGGTGGTTTGTGGCGAGAGAATAGGCATATAAAGAATGTGGGAAGTTTGTCTCAGCTGAGGTATTTGCGACTTAATGGTGAAAAAATCACCAAGCTTCCTGACGAAATTGGGGAGTTACGCTACTTAGAGACTCTCCATTTGAGGGGTTGTAGAAGCCTCACAACACTGCCATCAAGTATGGTTCGCCTACAGAAACTGGTGCGCCTATTTGTTTACGCAGGCCTTTGGCTGCCTGCAGATGTGTTTGGGAGCATGCAAGCCTTGGAGGAAGTATCATGCATCAATCATGTTGACAACGCAGTAAAATTTGCAGAGGTGCTCGGGAATCTAACAAAACTGAGAAAGCTCACGCTGTGTTGTGAGACATCTCATATACGAGGACATGGTCGTAAGGAAAGATTTTTGGAACTTTTGCGGTCATCTGTATCCAAGTTGGCCGAATACAACCTTCAGTATCTTTATGCTCCTAATGAATTAGTAGAGTATATGTTCAAGGATCAAAGCCGCGCCTTTCCGCACCTCCAAGTTATTAAAGTGTTGGAATATATGAAAAGTGTTCCCTCAGGAATGGCTTCCCTAAACAATGTCGTCGATTTGGACATAGAAGTTCGGAGGTTTTATGAGGAAGAACTCCATCTTCTCATGGGTTTGCCTTCTCTGACCCATCTCCAGCTGAAGGTAATCGATCCGGAGGCTTGGGCGAGAATGACGGCGATGACTGTCGGTAGTAACGGATTCAAGCTTCTAAAGGTGTTCTGCTTTGTGTTTAAGGGGTTCACGGGAACAGGAATAGCATTTGCACCAGGTGCTATGCCAGCACTCCGACGGTTCCACCTTCAGTGGAAAGCAAAGGAGGTTATGTGCAAATATTCATATTCTGACAGTGCTGACATGGGCATCGAGCTTCTTTCAGGCCTTGAGCACCTCCAGATTGAAACTGATTGTTATGACGCAACTGTGGCCGAGGTGGAGGCAGTGGAGGGTTCCATTGCAAAAGCAATCGCCCTGCATCCCAACCGCCACACTCTTCAAGTCCATATCACTACTAGAAAGGACGATTGTACTATTTTCAAGGATGACGAAGAGAGGTCCGCGGCATGGAAGGAGTACTGGGCCGGACAGGCGCTCGGTGAGTATTGAGATGTAGGAGGTATACATCTCGCGCCGCTGGTTATGGTAAGTGTCTGTTTTCTTAGTTAGACTGCGCTGCGTCATGTCATTTACTGATCTGTTTTCTATCACTCTCTGTGTGAAGGAGCCCCATGGGAGCGTGATCAGTACGAGTGCCATCATGTCATTTCTCAGAAGTGTGCCATAGCTACGTTGTGCGGTATCCACGTTTGTTTAATTCTGCTATGTAATAAGACTCTGCAACTTGTTACGACGCTCTGTTTTCCTAAGCATTGTGCTACCATATTTCATGCATGGATCGAACGCCCTGGATGTAAGCTATTTTATGGATCATTTCTTGTTTGAAAATAAATCTTAGACCCTCTAAGCTGTACCTGAATCTGCAACTGGAATGCAGTGCTCCTTTTGCCACTTCTAATAGTTCAGTGTTGTAAACTGGGTCTATGAGTCGAGGTAGACACTGGGTGGAGTGTTGAGCTAAATCTCCCGAATCCGGATAAATTCACAGTCTAGATTTCATTTGTGTTGTGCCACCACACCGGTAGCCGGCGGGTTTTTCCAAAGTTAAGCAGAGGCATTGCACCCCTTTGGAAGCTTCATTGTACCCCTTTGGAGTATCATGCAACCGTAAGCCTGGTGAACAGATGGTGATCTACTCAATGTATCCACCACTGAACCCACGTTGGTTTTCATCATACTATGTACATTCGCCGGTGCCCTTGATCCATTCCCCAGATTTATCTAGCACACGGTATCCCCTCCCTGCCTACAGCGAAGGCATTATATTCTGACTTTGTAGAGAATTTACCTGAGTTTGTCGTCCACAGCCATCTAAAGCGATCTCCGCCCTCGTTTAACTGAATTTGTGACCAGAGAAGGAATACTCCTTCAATGGCCTGCTCCGACGTCTCCGGATCCGTATCAGCTGCCCAGCGGTTGCCCTGAGGGGAGGCCCTCCGCCGCCGTGAGTTTCTTGGCGCGTCTGAACATGGAATTCACCGAGGCGTTGGTTCTTTTTTCTGTCATTTTTGAAGAGATCCGTCCAGAAATTGGTTGTGCGCCCATCCGGGACATGGAGGATCTGGTAGATGGTTCCAAGATTGCAAAAGGATGTGCCAGAATCAGAATGGGCACGAAACTGAAGCGGGAAATCTCGACGCTAAAAAATAACAGAGGATACAGTTTTCAGTTGCCCGCCAAACTCCCAGAACTGAAATTCAGAACGAGCGGCAAGTCTCCCCGCCAAATCGAAATTTTCGTCCAATCTTTTTGGGCGCCAAATTGGAGCGGGGAAATAGACACCGATTCTTACTTTTAATTTTCATTTTCGACAAGTGCTATCCGAAATTGGGGCGGGAAACCCCAGTACCCCACCACCAAATATTTCAGGCACGCGCCAAAGATGTTGATTCCCACCTACCTTCGCAATTGCCCGCCACCCTGGGTGGATGAAATTCGAACGATATGAATCGTAAACCCACACCTACAGATGCAATTCTGAACAGAGCGACAACAAGGGGCATGGGCAGACGAAACACAGAACGAACAAAATGTATCAAAGCAACTTATTGTTTCATTGAAATGGCGGTCAGAAAATACAACGACACAGCAAGAACAGTCTACTTCGAACTGAAGTATCCTGAAGCACACCCATCCATACATCCCAGCTACTACAGCCTAACTAAGCAAGGAACCTAAGCCTTCTTGGGGGACTTGGCGGTCTTCTTGGGCGACTTGGGCTCCTTGGGGGACTTCTCGGCCGTCTTCTTGGGGAGCAGCACCGGGTTGATGTTGGGGATCACGCCGCCGTGCGCGATGGTGATGCCGGCGAGCAGCTTGCCGAGCTCCTCGTCGTTCCTGATGGCGAGCAGCAGGTGGCGGGGGATGATGCGGCTCTTCTTGTTGTCCTTGGCGGCGTTGCCCGCGAGCTCCAGCAGCTCGGCGGCGAGGTACTCGAGGACGGCCGCGAGGTAGACGGGGGCGCCGGAGCCGACGCGCTGCGCGTAGCGGCCCTTCTTGAGGAAACGCCCGATGCGGCCGACGGGGAACTGGAGCCCGGCCTTGACGGACCGCGACACGGACTTCTTCCTGGGGCCGCCCGCCTTGCGCCCGGCCGCGCCCTTCTTCCCCTTCCCGGTGGCTACGGTGGCTGAGGCGTCCATGGCGAGAGCTGGAGAAAGGATTCGGGAAGTGGAGAGATGTGTGTGGGGATTGCTTGACTGCTGATTGCCGAGTGCGTTGGTGGCCAAGGAGACGAGATTTGCGGAGTATTTATTCGAGGGGAGGGGGGAGGAGGAAGTGGCAGTGGGCCCATGGATCCGCGTGAACGTTCAATGGACGGCTGGATCGGGAGCTGAATGGACGGCTGTGATGCCAACAAAAACATCGATCTGTAACAGCATGTTTGGTTGGACACAATAGGGTTCCGCACAGGATGAAATTGTATTTGTTTGGTTATGTGCATTGAGCCAAACCCAATAGAAATGACCGAACGGACAGTTTTCAGTGAGCCAAACTCAAGCAATGCAACAAAAAAAAAAACATGATGGGTCCGGGGATACAACCTCTATGATAACCGGTTGTATGTGAGGTTGCATGTGGTGTGTTTGATTTAACACCTAATCTCGTTCACTTATTGGTTCCGTCTAATCTAGACGATGGTGCTTAGATTTAAGATAAGGTTCATATATGAAAAGAAGCACATTCATGTCCATGTTGGGTTCAACGGTAGGGTGCATCAACTGCAAATAAAATTTTCCTATGCACAGAACAACCAAGAACTTGCTACGGGAGATGGATCACAGTTCGTTACCACTAGATGCGCAGTGTCGTGCAGCAGAAGAAGAGTTGGGGCAGCGCGTCCGCGTGGATCGTCTCCTCCTTGTCCGATCTCCCTCGAACAGCCGATCGTCCGATCCCACGTACAAGTTCGCCGGAGCGGCGCAAGTGCACCGCCTCTAACGGTATCCGCGCGTGCAGGAGGAACATCGTGCGGCGGACTGCTAGGTCCGATAACACAGTCGGCGGCGAGTGGAGGTGGCTATTCGCAACACATGCAAACCCTAATGACGGCGCTGAAGCGATCAACCACATGAGTGTGCCGCACCTCCACTTTATATAGGCGCCCGTCGCTGGCTCAACACTTGGGCCTCGCACGGACCCTAAAGCCCAAAGTCTACTCGGTCACGTTCCTAGTCCAGTTCGGATCACATCCGACCAGTGTCCTACGAACCGACCTCGTAGGTTCCTTCCCTTAAGCGCGCGACCCTTAGCTTCAAGTCGGCTTGGTCACAGTTCGGATCACCTCCGACCTGCACGGTTGGTAGCGGCCTCTAGCAAGGCGTGCCGACCACCAAGCAGACTATGAACCTGATTAGGCGAACCTGTACAACGTGTCACACTTCTATTCCCTTTGCCTCACGATACATGTTGTCGGGCTCAAGGCGAGACTGTCATCCTTGTGCTAGCCCGACCTCCTTCTCGTTCCAGTGATACCGACCACTATCCGGATTATCTCATAATCCTTGTCGCACGGCCATGTTTATCCTGGTCAGATCACACGAGGGGCCCAGATTATATCTCTTCTGATCAGAGGGGCAAATCCCATCTTGCTTGAACATGTCTCGCAGCATGGGACTGGACAAACCCAAAACCTACCTTTGTAACTACCCAGTCATGGAGTAGCGTTTGGTCGGCCCAAAGCAAGTTTGTCACCATATCGAGTACATGCGTCAGCTCGGGTCTTAGGACATAGAACGTATGTTGTACTAGAGACTCACAGATGACATATCGCTGCGTCTCATAGTTGGGTCTATCCGACTCGGAACTTACCTCGACTCGGATCCGACTACGTCGAATCCGACCAGACCTTTCCAAGTTCATATTATCCAGTTAGCATCCAGTGCTCCATGGCTAGTGAGATCAAGCCATCGATCGTGTCATATGCTAGTCTAGTCGGCTGCGCGTCCACACAGTCCTTTCGACTAGGGACCTTTTAGGACAGTCATCATACAATGCATAGTCCCACAAACAAGTCACGTACTTGCTGATACACATCATTGATAATGTCCAAGGACTATCTTTATTCATAAACGCATAGGAAATATCATCATACATTATTGCCTCTAGGGCATATCTACAACAGTTCGGGCAATCGGTTTGTAGTTTCGTTAATTGTAAATGTTCATTTTTGTGTTCATGTTTAGAGCTATTTTGAACAAATTTTGTCAAATTCATCACGTACGGTCGGTCGGTCGAATTTTCCTTCGACGAATAGCTTCATCTCACAGTTCCACATGACTTTCGTGTTGCATGTTTTTATTTTCGATGAACGTAGACAAGTAAATATACATCTTCTTCATGATTGTGTATATGCATGTGTTGTGTTTTAATGACATTCTTAATATCCTTTGCCTAGTCCCTTCTAATCGTTCCTCTGTCACATTCTTAATCTCCTTCGCCTAGTCCCTTCTAATCGTTCCTCTGTCCCTCATGTCTCGCGTCCTATTACACTAGTGTCATCGCCGACGTGGTTCCTCTTTGCCTCCTCTCCCGCCTCCTGTTGCACTTGCGTCATCATCGTCGTCATTCATCCCGACCTCCTCTTCACTGTCCTACACTCGAGCGATTGTCGCCGTTGTTCATCCCGGCCTTCTCTCCTACGTCCTACTACACTTGAGCGGACGTCGGTATTGTTTCTCTTGGCCTTCTCGCCACATCCTGCTACACCGACACCACCATCGGCGTCATTCCTCTCGGCCTCCTTGCATGTGTCCTACTACATCGTCGGCGGCGGCGTTCCTTTCGGATTCCTCTCACGCATCCTGCTGCACCGATGTCGTCAAGGCGCGCGCACTGCATTTCTCCTCCCCCGCCCTCTGGCTCAACGCCCTCCTATTCATCGCTTAGCGCGTACTTTCGTTGTGGCAACGATGCTACCAACTAGTTCGCCACAACGCCAACGAGCCCGCTCACCCGCGACTTCGTGCTCATCGTGTCAAACGCTACGC